TGGCAGGCCTCGGAAAACTGAGGGAGCTCCTGCTCAGAAAAGGAAAGCAGAGTTGCCTCTGGCTGTGCAAGCAAAGGTTCTGAAGACAATGGAGGCGTCTGCGCCTAGCTTTGCTTCTACAACGGACTTGTCTGCAGCCATGGCCCCGAAACTAGGCATGGAGAGAAAGTCTGTGCAGAACCTCTGGAAAAGAAAAGACAGAGTTCTGGAGCAGCAGGCTCAGCGGAACCACGCTCTGCAGCCGGGAAGGCACCGCAAAGGTCGCTCTGGCCAGACGTCTGGTGGAACAGCAAGACCTGGCCGTAGCGGAGGCTGGCGTCTGAGTGGAGCTGGGCGAAAGTCTGAGTTCGCTGACGTCGCGACGTCGCTGCGAAGCTGGTTCGAGGAAGCCCGTGCTCACGGGCATTCTGTGAAGAAGCGGCACCTGCTGGCACGCTGGACGTTTCTGATGACCTCTGAGTTGGTTCGGCTCAAGTCTGCGAAGAGTGCCTCTGCAGACTCTTTTGAGAGGGCACGTCTAGATCAAAAGATCTCTGAGGGCGAGAAGCAGCTGCAGTCTGCTGCGAAGGAGTCTGGCAAGAATCGTCTCAGGCAGCTGGTGCATGATGTGGGTGCCAAGAATCTGCTGCCGGATCTGAAGACGAAGCTCTCAGAGCAGGAGGAACAGGTCACTGCGAAGCTGACGTACCAGAGTCTGGACCACACTCTGCACCTGGCCTGCTTCGCTCCTCTGGAGGACCTCTCTGCTCGGGTTGGCAAGGCTGGGGAGTTCAGAGAGAATATCTCTGATCTCGTCGTCGTCTGCTCGGACCAGATCCCTTTGTGGATCAAGTCTGGTTCTGAGCGTGAGCTCTTTGCTGAATGGGAGCACCAGCCTCTGCCCCAGCAGGTTCTGCGAGAGAGACTGAGGAAGCACCATCTGGCTTCTCCTGACCAGATTTCAGACTCTGGCGACGTTCTTCCTGCTGCCAAACCTCTGCTGCAGGCCGTCAAACCGTCTGCAAAAGCTGCCACTGCCTCTGGACAGAGGCAGAAGAGGGCCTTTGTGGATGCGGACTCTCTGAGGTACCGTGTCACCTACGAGGCCAGGCAGGCTCTGTACGGCCTCTGCAAAGAGCCTGGTGCTGACGGGGAGTCTGCACTCAGCGGGCGAGTTCTGCCTGGACTTCTGGTCGTGCACGGCACGCACGCTCGTCTGGACAACATCGACAGCTCTGGTCGATTTCTGAAAGACGAGAGCTTTGAGTTTGCTGGCAAGCTCATCTGCCGCCAGAAGAAGTCTTCGGCAGGGAATCTGCTTCGTGGCTGGCGACAGGCACGGGACAAGGATCCCGGTCTGTTTCGCCACATATCTGTCATGTCCCAACCCTCTGCGAACGTTGATGGCATCATCTTCGCATGGTCTCAGGAAGCTCTGGCCACTCTGGCACCAGCCTCTGTGCACGTTCGCGACTGCTTCGCTGCAGCCTGGTCGTCTTCTGCCGCCGAGTCTCTGTTCTATGGCCAGTCTCTGCAGACGGTCATTGGACCGAAACTGACTGCCAGTCTGCAATTGACTGACACCGACTTTGCCAGAGCCTTCAAGAGTCTGGCAAGGTCTGCCATGGACGATCTCAGGTCGGCTTTCATTCATCTCTGCATTTGACTCTACTAAAACTAATTAATTGGCATTTAGTCCTGCTTGCAGGCACTCTGGTCAGACCGCTCTGCTGGCTGCTGGCGAGAAGGAGTTCTGGAGAGCGAGCCATCTGGACATGGCGAAGGCTGTTGTGCAGGCTCAGTCTCAGATGTCTGAGCGACAAGCCTCCAACGACTGGATCGTGTCTGGTCTTCGCCGCAACGGTCTACTGGCTTACAAGCCTGACTTCTCCAAGAAGACTCTGGTTCCTTTGTCAGACTCAGAGTGCTTCGGCACTGGCATGGGCCGCTCTGCTCTCCTTAATGGGTCGTTCTTCCTCTAAGTCCGAGGCTTTAAGCAGCAGTCTGGCAACCGAGGTTCTGCGAGGACGAAGCCAAGCTGGCTGGAGGACCGCTACTCCTGGCGGGATGCATCTGGCGTTCCAGTGAAGCCAGACTGGTCTGCTCTGCAAGGAGCCAAGGTCGTGGCGGATCTGGTGGAATGGAGCTATCACCACTCTGAGCCGCAGGACCAGGATGTGGAGAAACGGGTGGACGAGGCTCTGCTGAACGTGCACGAGATGCCTCTAGACCTGCAGCTCCCCTGCATCGAGTCTGGCGTCCTGACACTGTCTCTGGACTTGCAACGTACAGCCTGGCAGAAGCAGCTCTCTGCGGACTCGGACCTTCTGGCCAAGAAAGCTGTGAAACGGGATGTGAAGCAGATGGTCGCTCTGGCGAGGCAGAAGCTGCGAGGCAAGCTTCTGGAAGCCATGCGGCATCGTCTGACACAGATGTCCCGCGAGCAGGCTCTGCAGCGTCTGGTGCCGAGAGCCTCTGACACCCAGAAGCCCTCTGTGGTCAGGAAGAAGGGCCTGAAAAACCAGAAGAAGACAGCTCTGGCCCACGCTGCGAAGGCTCTGGCGAAGAAGATGGCCCTGGACCACAAACCCGCTGGCGGCTCTGCTCTGGTGCCAAGCTCTGCGCCGTCTGACCCGGTGTCTGAGAAGGCCGCAGAGTTGAACTCTGCAACGAAGGGCCCTCTGTACGGCCGGACCTGCAGGATTCTTCGAGAGGACCACAACTGTGGCAAGTCTGGCAAGTGCACTCTGCACGACGTCATGACCAACAAGGTCTCTCTGGCTGGCCGCTGAATCGCACTTATCTGCTTGCATTTCTGAACATGCTCGTACTTTTGTTTGCCTGCGGACTCAGGTGTTGGAGATGCCTGTGCCACGGTGCTCCTCTCTGACTCCGAGGTCTGCGACGTGGATCCACTCTGGAAGTCTCCGAAGAAGTGGAAGAATCTGCGCCTGAAGAGGGCTCTCAAGGAATTGGTTCTGCGATCCTGCGGCGGCTCTAGCCTCTTTCTGGAGGCTTCTGGCGACTTCTTCGCTGCGGAGCCTGTGGAACTTCTGACGTTCAAGAAGTCTTATCCGCAGATGCTTCTGGATCAGCATCTGCGGTACGGCTGGGAACTTCTGCGCTACAATCTGAGCGACTCTGACGAGAACTGGTTTCTGGAGAACAAGATCTGCATGGTGGACCCTAAGCTGTCTGCCCAGCTCCTCGCTGGAGACCACGACCGCCCCGAGCTTCTGCAGGCTGCTCTGGATCGACTCCGTTCTGAGAACAAGGTGCTGTTCGTGCCAGTCTGGGGGCCTGCTCCCTCGCACTGGACTCTTCTGGTCCTGCAGCGACAGGACCTCGCGGAGAACTTCTCTGTGAAGTACCTGGACAGCCTGTCTGAGAAGCACGAGCAGTGCTCTGTGAACGCAGCCAGACTTCTGTCCCTCCTGCTGCCCACAGAGGTTCTGCCCGAAAGAAGTCCCTCTGGCACCCAGAAGGCGGATGAATGCGGTTTCTGGGTTCTGGCCAACATGTTGAGCATCTGCTCGGGCCTGCTTCTGGAAGGTCCCTGTGCTCGTGGATCTCGCGGAAAGCTGGTTCTGGAGCTCATGTCTGAGCTGAAAAGCTGGCTTGTGCAGCTCTCTGGCGAGCAGACCAAGCTGAAAAAGGAGCTGGAGAGCAAGGAAAAGGCTCTGGAGAAGACTCTGAA